CCCTGAGGGCTGCCCTGAGATGTCTCGCAGGATATCCCATAGGACCCCCTCCCCCAGATGCCAGGATACCCCGCGCGACGCCCGCTACGCCCCGGAGCGCCAGGGCGCCCCGCCGCGCGCCTCAACGCGACGCGCCCGGGGCTGCCCCGTCGGGCGCCCCCCGCGGCGCCCCGCGCGCTGCCCCGCGCGATGCCCGATTCGATTTCCCGCGGACTGCCCCGCAGGATGCGCCGCGATATGCCTCGCGCGATGCCCCCCAGAGGACGCGCCGCACAATGCGCCCAACGATGCCCGCGCCGGGGCGCTCCGCGGGACGCCCCACAAGGTGTCCCACGCGATGCCTCATACGGTCTCCTTCCCAACTGCATCCAAACATGATGCCGCGCTGCCTGGGGCGCCCCGCCGCGTGCCCCGCGGGGCGCCCTGCGCGGCGCCCAGTATAACGCCCCGCAAGCTGCCCCGAATGATGCCGCATCGGAGGCCTCGTGGGCCCCCCCTATAGAGCGCCCCCCTGGGCGCCCTCCAGGATGCCACGAGAGGCGCCTCTTAGGCTGTCACAGAAGGCGACGCCGACGACGACTGCGCCAGCGACGACGACCCCGACGACAGCTTCGACTAAGTCCCGGCGCCGACGACTCCGACGACGACCTTGGCGAAGATTTCGGTGAGAGCGGCGACGGCCCCGCCGACGACGACTGCGACTCTGACGACGGCGGCGGCGGCGACGACCCCGACGACGACGCCGACGACGACCGCGACGGCGACGCCTCCGCCGCCGACGGGGACGCCTCCGCGCGACAACGAACGCGACGGCGAGCGCGACGGCGACGACTCCGCCGACGACACGGCGCTCTACCAGGACACCCATAGGCGATATATGTACCTCGCTATGCACTTACCAGCTGACTCAAGACGAGAAACAGAACGCGCCCCCCTCATCACCAGTTCCCCCGTTGCCCCGCTTCCAAACCACCAACGCTAGGACAGGCCATGACAGAAGTGGGCGCGGCGCGGCAATTATTCTTGGACGAGTGGGGCGGGGGTAAAATCCACTCGGCTCGTAGTCCATCACTTCCTTCGTCGTCCCGTTGCGTGTTCCCCGTAGCCCGTCGTCCTCCTCATTCGTCATCCATCGTTTCGTTTTCCTCGCCTTACCCACGTGCGTATCTTCGCACGGTCGCCCTTCCCCCCCTCATCATCTGCCTCCGCCCACGATGGGGGCGGGATTGGGGGGGGGGATCGCCGCCCCTGCGGGCCGCGCATTAATTTTATTGGCTTTATTAACTCTACGCGGGAGCTACTGAAGTTAACGAAGGTAGCTTCGCCAGACACGAGGGAAAAAACGTGCTCACCCCCCTCCGCCCCCTCATCATCATCGGCGCCCCGAGGAGAGGATACTGGAGAGGAGGGCGAGGGCGGCCTGGGGGGTTGGCCACCCCGATGCGCCCAGGATCCGATGGGGCGAAGCTGAGGAAGGGAAGCCCAATATTTCTTCATCGGATTGTTCGAACGGGATCGATCTGCGATGGTTCCGGGGCCCGAAGCCAGGCGACGACGCCTTGTTTGAGAAACCGATTGTCATTTTCCGCAAATCCCCACTAAGCCCATGCAAGCTCGACGCACAGCGGGGTTCCCCTGAAGGGGAGGACGTGGCGTCATTTGGTGATGTCGAAGGCCTGTGTGGCCAGAGGTTGCTTGCATGTTCCCTAGGGTATCTAGGAGTGCCCCTTGAGGGGTCATTGGAGGCGTTCTGGGGTGATTCGAGGCCTCTTGCTGGCATTCTGGGAGGCCTCTTGGAGCATTTTGGGTGACTCTGGGGGGCCGCTTGGGGCTTCTCGGGGGCATCTTGAGGCTCTTTTGGGAACTTTTCGGGCCGTCTTGGGATCTCCCGGGTGCGACCCGACCTAGGAATTGGATCATTTAGGAAAGCAACATCTACATCTACACCGACCGTTACATTAACATCTACACCTGCATCTACATCTACATCAACATCAACAGCGACACTCATTCCACCGGCGAAGCCGAGAGGACAGGTGAACAATCGCAAATGGGACTGGACTTTTCGAGATCAGCGGGCCTAAGGCCGCGCTGATAACCGAGGGAACGATCGACCTTGATCATCCTGACGGATATGTGTACAATCACTGCGAAGATCCTTCGGTAACAATAACTTTGGTCGGTACAGAGGCTCGGGCAACTGCGGCCCAATATGTTGTCGAACATACAGGCGCGCGTCCGAGTAACCCTGGCAGGATAATACTGCAAGGATAAGTGAAACATGTGATCCCACTAATTATCAAGACCATAGTAGATGGAAACTGGTTGGCCTATGTACAGCAGACGCAACTGGGTCTGAGGCTTATGCGGATTTTTGCAATTGTTCGCGAACTGATCAGCTCCTTTATATTAGAGGGACATTGTATTGGATACCCGGGGCGAATAATTCGTCCCGATGCAGCGCGCACAGATAATATTTCTACGAAGCGACGGGCAGATGAGCATGCTCTTGACTGCCGTATTCGCGCCGCTGTTCAAACAGACGACATAATAGAGAAGTGGGTCCATAATATGTGCAGGAAAGTGCAGAATGATGTCCGTTGCTAGGGTGCTCTCATACAAGAAGCCATGTCTTGGCTTCAGGACAAGTATCCGGATCCTGGAACAGAGCTCCAGGATAAAGAGGATGGACACTTCCGAGCTGCATGCGGAAAGTATGGTGTCCCAGTGGCGACTGCTGCTAGGAGTCTATTACAAGTTATGCGAGATCATAAAAACGATGATCTGTACCACGACGGCCAAGCCGACCTCGCGGGACCGAGAAGGGCACCGGATGAGGCGAAGGCTAGACCTTTAACGCCTCCTCCGCCGCCCAGACCCGACGTCCCAGACGTTCGGGCCCCTGATGACGCCACCGAGTCCCCGCGGTCTGTCGCCGGCTCAGCCGTGACGACAAGAGAGGCACACCCACAGTATCCCGACATTTGGGATCGGTCGGTGCCCCGGCGCGCGCGCGATGGCGCCATGGATGCTGGCCGCGGCGCTGCTGGCTACGACTACGACTACGACCCGTCCATGTCCTACCCGCGCTACGTAAACAATGTTCATGTCGGGTACTACGTCCACCGGAACCGGGTCATGTGGCTGACCGACGAAGAGTGGTGCGCTCTGGATTACTGGCACATACTGTCTACGTATGAGCGCGACAATCGCTTCCCATCCAAAGGGAAGGCATCAAAGAACAAGGAGAAGAACTACAGCGCTTGAGATCAGGGGCGTTCCCGCTCGCCTCGCGGCGGAGAAGGACACGCTGGCGGCGCGGCGTCGTCAAACCCGCCGCCTCCGGAGCCGCCCGTGGAAGTGTACAACCCGTGGGAGGACCTGAACTGAATTCCGCCCGCGCGACTCGGTCGCTGCAGGCGCATGCAAGAAAGTTCTCATCCACGCGCGGCACGCGTGTTGGATGAGTGATTACCTCTACTGGTCGGCTAAGCCGGTCCAGCGGAGAGAATCTATTTAACGTGATGGTGGGAGTCGTCGGGCCTCTCCGGCCCTTGGCCCCCTGGCAGCCACCGTTGAGCCGTAAAAGTTGTTGGGGTTGGCTCCGGTGGTTATGTGTATGTATAGGCCAGGGGTGCTGTGGCTGGATGGGCTCTACGAGGCCCGCCGCGGGGGGGGTAAATCTGCTCATCTCCGCCTCATCTTCAATTAGAACTTAAGTTAACTTGCGTGTTACGCACTGTCTGCCTGAGCTAATGCTGCATTCTGCAGCTGTATTGATTGCTCAAGCAAGCTTGCCTTGGCTTGCAGGCGAGAAAAGGAGCGCGCCAGCCTTCGGCCGTCGCGCGTCGTCGGTCGTAGGCCAGCCGGCCTCCTCCCTACACGTTCATGATAGAGTAATCTTGCTTAACGGATACTTGTCTTATCGATGTCTCATCCCGTCCCCTCTCTCCCTGAGCAGAGTAAACATGAGATCTCAATTCCTTCGGCATCTTGATCCGATTCTCAGAGGAAAGACTGGAGGAGGAGGCGGAGGAGGAGGTCGCGAAATCTGCTGCACTGCGGCTGGTTTCGGCCACGCCGTCTGGCGCAGTCCTCGGTGCGCCCCTGCCTCCCGCGCCGGGGGGCCCGGGGAAACCCGCGGCGCGCGCTGCTTCGCTGCCCCCTCCCGCCTTTTTCCAGGAGGGGAAAAAACACAGACACAATTAATCGTCGATTCCCCGGAAAACGTGGGAAAATATGGGAAGTGGGGGGGGGAGAGACAGAAACCTTGAAAACATGGGAAAATATGGGGAATCCTTTTGTTTGTTTGTACTTATTTGTGTGTCCCAGTTCCCCTTCATTTTTCCAACCCGAGTTCACGGCAAGTTCGCATCGTGTCAACGCGGCGGCGGCCCCGTCGCGGGCGTTCCAGGTGGAGCGCCAGCGACCTCCCAGGATCGGCCAGTGTGGATTACGTCTGGCGATCGAGAAAAGCGGGGGGGTGAGCGACCCCCGCGGTGTCACAGACCAGCGCCAGGGCCGTCACGACACGAAACTGCCGTGGCCGATCGGCCGTGCGATAATAGAGGGGGGCCCAAGTTGGCGGTGAAGAAACGGGCCCCGAAGGGGCCCTAAAGTCGGAGCCAGTAAAGGCCCAAAAGGGGCCCCTGAAGGGCCCCTTTCTGGAGCTCTTTTCTTCACCCCCCATTTGGGTCGCGCACCCCCCCCCCCCCATCACCACTCGCCCGAAGCCTGCCGTGGCCGAGAGGAGGATCCGGCATGCAGGACGCAGGAGCAGGAGCAGCCACCCAGCGGGGCCGCTGCCCGGGTGCTACCTCCGCAAAGGCGCGCTGCTGCTGGCGAAATGCGGGAAGAGGAAGAATAAGAGGAGGAGGAGGAGGAGGAGGAGGAGGAGGAGGCGGAGGAGGAGGGGGAGGAGCAGGAGGAGCACGAGGAGGAGGAGCAGCAGCAGCAGAAATCAACAGCAGCAGCAGCAGCCACCTGGCGGGGCCCGCGAGGCCCCCGCCGTTCCGTCCCTCGCGCCCGCCACGATGCCGGCAGCAGCCCCCGCCCAGGCGCCTCCGCCGTCGTCGCCCTTCCAGGGCTCCAGTCGTGTTTTTGCTGCGGTGCCGCATGATTCTGCGACGTCTGACCTCAAGGGAGGAGGAGGGGGAGGGGAAGAGAGGGAGAGGAAAAAGGAGAGGACCGTGACCAGTTCTCCACGGCCTCGGCTTGGAAAGCGCAGCTCGTCCACTTCACGAACAAGATCTGCAATCTGTGGGGGCTCCCTGGGATAGGCACGCAGGCGTCCGACGTTGAGCTGGATAGCCCCGCTGGGTCGCCGCCTGCGAAGAGGCCACGCCCGCCAGACCTCATGAGTTACCCCAACACCCGCGCAACGCAGGGCGATGATATGACGGGGGATTGGGGGAGGACGTTTCCTGTTTGTCGTCGATTGCCAGCTTCTGCAGCGCGTCGCCATGGGACAGGCTCCCCTGAGGGACGACGACGCCACTGCCATATTCAGCAGCATTTGCAACAGTTTGGTATCAATGTTGGATTTGGGATGGAATCTTCCTCAAGTTCATCACGACCCCGTCGTGTGGCGGAGGCGGGAATACAATGTCGCAGCTCATTTTCTCGTTCTGTACATTATGGACTCCAGGACGTCCTGGTCCAAAAGTTTCTACTTCCCCTTCCGTGGCGAGAGCGTTTCGGATTGTAGCTTTGTGGCGCATTCAGATGGAGGATCTCGTGCGGGATCGTGCTCAGCTACCGGATGGGTGGTGGAGGCCGGACGTTGGAACGGCGTGTTTTGAGAATTCCGCCCCATAGCCATGGCAGGCAGCTTTATTCCGACACCGACTTCTTCATTCCAGGCTGAGGCCCTGGCGCTAGAAGAGTCTGCATTGTTTGTCTCACGTCTGTGCGCCTCGCTGTCAAGGTAAACTTGCGCCTTCCCATGCAGCACTGATTGTAGTCGGCCGACACTGTGCGTGTCCTAGGCTTGGGGGGCTTGGGGGGCAGGAGAGGAAGAGGGAAAGGAAGAGGGAGGGGGAGCGGGAGGAAAACGAGGGAGGACCCCGTCGCCGTCGCCACGGGATGCGCGCTGAACGGCTTGGTTTATTCCCAGCCATTTTGTGGTGTTGGGTCTTCGTTTTGAAGGGACAGCGCCCCGCGTTCCTCACTCCTTCCTCCTCCCCCTCCTCCTTCCTTCCTGCGTTTCACCCACCAGCATTTCCGGGACCCCATAGGGAACTCCGCCGAAAGCCCCAGCGGCAGGGTTCGCATGGCGGCCTCGGGTCATTTCGGCACACCCCTCACGAGGATCGTGGCCCCACTGGGAGCCCCACCAAAGGCGCCCGGAGCAGGGTTCGCATGGCGGCATCGGGCCATTTCGGCACACCCCTTACGAGGATCGTGGTTCCAGAGGGAGCTCCACCGAAGGCGCCAGTGGCAGGGTTCGCATGGCGGCCTCGGGCCATTTCGGCACACCCCTCACGAGGATCGTGGCCCCATAGGAACTTCACCGAAGGCGCCAGTAGCAGGGTTCGCATGGCGGCCTCGGGCCATTTCGGCACACCCCCCGCGAGGATTGTGGACCCTTGGGGAGCTCCACCGAAGGCGCCAGTAATTCGCAGGGTTCGCATGGCGGCTTCGGGCCATGTCAGCACCCCCCTTCACGAGGATCGTGGCCCCATAGTGGAGCTCCACCGAAGGCCCCAGTGGCAGGGTTCGCATGGCGGCCTCGGGCCATGTCGGCACCCCCCTCACGAGGATCGTGGCCCCATAGGGAGTTCCACCGAAGGCCCCACTGGCAGGGTTCGCATGGCGGCCCCGTCACCATTTCGGCGCACCCCGCGCAGGCTTCGTGGCCCCATAGGGAGCTCCACCAAATGCTCGATCGGCAGGGTTCGCATGGCGGCCTCGGACCATGTCGGCACACCATTCACGTGGATCGTGGCCCCACAGGAGCTCCACCGAAAGCGCCAGTAGCAAGGTTCGCATGGCGGCATCGGGCTATTTCGGCACACCCCTCACGAGGATCGTGGACCCTTGGGGAGCTCCACCGAAGGCGCCAGTGGCAGCCTCCCTCATGGCTCTCAGAACCCTCTCCTGCTTCTGCTCTTCGGTCAGAGGGACGCCGTCCTCGTCGTCGTCGGCTCCCGCGAAGACGGCCACGAAGGCGTCCCTGAGCATGTCGGGTTCCGGCGGCAGGCCGTGGCCACATAGGGAGCGCGGGCGAAGATGGTATTCACAATTGCGGTACTCACACATGCATATGGTTGGGTCCTTCGCCCGTCTCACTATTTCCAGCCAGTTTTTCCTCGATTTCAGCCTTCGGGAAGCTTCCCCGAAAACCAAAGCCAACAAGAGCGGCTCGGGTGGAGAGCGGTCAGGATTTTCAGGAATTCGGATCAAGCTCTTGGGCTTTTCCCAAGCGGTCTTGGGTCCTCGTTTTGAAGAGACGCGCCCCACGTCTCACCATTCCTCCCGCTGCCCCCTCCCTCTTCCCTCCCCCCTAGCGCCCAGTGCATCATTTCGCGGTCCCATAAGGAGCTCCACCGAAGGTCCCAGTGGCAGGGTTCGCATGGCGGCCCCGCCCCATCCAGGCGCCCCCCCTCGCACGCTTCGTGGCCCCATAGGGAGCTCCACCGAAGGCTCCAGTGGCAAGGTTCGCACGGCTGCCCTGCCCCATTGCGGCGCACCCCGCATACGCCTCGTGGCCCCATACGGAAGTCCACCGAAAGCGCCAGGAGCAGGGTTCGCATGGCGGCATCGGGCCTCCCCCCCTCACGTAGATCGTGGCCCCATTGGGAGCCCCACCGAAGGCCCCAGTGGCAGGGTTCGCACGGCGGCCTCGGGCCATTTCGACACGCCCATCATACGTTTCGTGGCCCCGTAGGGAGTTCCACTGAAGGCTCCGGTGTTCGCATGGCGGCTCCGCCCCATTTCGACGCACCCCCTCGCGAAGATCGTGGCCCCACAGACAACTCTCCCACCGAAAGCCCCAGTGGCAGGTTTCGCATGGCGGCCCCGTCCCATTTCGGCGCGCCCCGAGCCATTCGCCGACTGCTGCTACTACCTTGACGCCGCGCAGGCGTGTTTGGTCACGCCCTGGTTCATCCAGGTGAACCGGCCTCACGCAGCGGCACCTGGCTGGCCTGTCGTCTTCGACCCCTTTGACGCGGTCGACCGCAGCCTTGTCCCCAGAGTCACGTCTTGTCCCGCGCGGTGACCTGATGGACACAACCTCCCGCGGGGCGCCGTGGTCCGGGGGCAGCGGGCCACAACGCTCGACGCCCAAGACTTCGGCTGGATATGTTTCCGCACCAACGGCCGCCGCTGGCACGTCCCCACTAGTGGGCCCGTACACGAAGTGGCGGTAGTTCCCGCCACGAAGCCCGCCCCTGTGGGCGTCGCAGCGTGTGACGCGGTGCCGCTGGGCTTAGTCCTGGCGTGCGCCAACAACCCGTGGCGGGGCGATACCCCAATTGTACCACCAACGCACCGACCCAGACCATTGGCCTTGGGTCCGGCAGGAGTGCCGCAGCACATACTGCCCGTTGTGCGCAAGGGCGCAGCGGCTACTCGAGCACGGGAGTGGCGCCCCCCCGACCAACGCGGCCAAGTGCCTTGACCCGCACTGCCAGGGCACGCTCGAGTACCAGAACGAGCGGGACCCTGCAGCACCGTCCGGCTGGGTCCGCGCGCAGGGCCAACAAGCGGACGATCTGATCTGGCGCGCGGATTCTCGCACCACATGGCCGAACGTCACGCCCTCGACGCCTTTTACCACGGGGGCCTGCCGCCGCGCGCGGTTGCCCGCGTGGCCAGAGGGGGCGCCGTCTGCACGATTCGGAGCTCCACTGGCACAGAGCGCCGCGGGGCCTGCTCCTTTCTTTCTTTCTTTCTTTCTTTCTTTCTTTCTCTCTCTCTCTCTCTCTTTCCCTCTCTCTCTCTCTCTCCCGTTCCCACCCTCCCTCTCTCTCGCGCCCTCCTCAGAAAGCAAAGCTTCCACCCCAAAGGGACAAGCGCGAGAAGCACTCTCTGTGTCTGTTGATCCCTCTCTCTCTATATGTATATATATCTGTATATACATATATATATATATCGTCATCTCCCTCCCTCTCTATTTTCACATAGTTATGTACATATATATACATATATATATGTATACATATATATGTATATATAGGTATATACGCAATAACCACGCATATGTGTTGGTATATACATGTTTCCATGGATGCATGTATGTAAATGCCCTGGATGTATATACACGTAAAAGCATGTACACATACCATGTAAGTATCCTTTATATGCTTGCATGTATACGTGCATGTACGTGCCCTGTATGCCAAATATATGCCCTATATACATATAGCTGTACTCATCTATTCGCCTCATTGTATCCCCCACTGTGTTTGGGCAGTGGGCATGTGCATGTGTACGTATAGGGACGCTGAGAAAAACAGGAGCGGAACACGATATAGAGAAAGGAGGGAAGACCGACCGCAATTAGCTTGAATGGGGCAATGGATACAGCGAAAAGAGAGAGGAACAGAAGAGAGATGGAAGTACCACTTGGAGGCGGAGAGGGTGCCTTGTGTCAAGAGAGGGAAATAATGAAATGTAGCGGTGCGGAGGAAGGCATGTGCGGTGCTGGTCACGATGAAAAAGACGGTGATGGCAGCGCATGGAAGCAGAGGAGGGAGAAGTAAAAGTTGTGATGACGGGGACGAAAAGGATAGGGAAGAGGTGGCGAAGCAGGGAATTGGATTGGAACGGGGGATGATATGGGGGGAAATCAGATATGAGGATAGACGACTAAGCGTGCACATTGGAGCTTGAATGTTGCGCTTCCTCATCCTCCACCTCCTCCTCCTCCTCATACTCCTCCTACTTCTCCTCTTCCCCCCCGCCCGTCGCCCCCATCCCCCTCTTCGTCACGCCCCTCTTCCTGTTTTTTTTTGTTCTCCACGCGGTTTGCTGACCGACCGCAGCAGGCCGGGGCCTCAACTGCGTGCGAAAGCGCGCCTGGGCAGTGCCGGTTCGAATATTGAAGATTCCAGTTGACTAATTGTGAGAGGTTTTCAAACAGGAGAACGCGCGCGGAAGCGCGCCTGGGCAGACCGCCTAGATTGTTTCTTCAGAAATTAATTTGGGGATCATGGGGCGTCGGTTTGAATATTGGAGATTGAAGATCTCAAGTGATTCATTGCGATGAGACTTCCAGCAGGCTGCCAACTGGCTGTTTGAAGAATGTCGCAATAAGCACGCTGGAATCTTCAATCTTGGATCGTATGATTATTTTCCAAGTAGGCTGCGAAGCGCCTGGTGGAATGTTCTTTCGGCTGTTCACCTCCTTTTTAGTAGAGCTCTCGCAATAAGCCCGCTGGAATCCTCAATCTTCAAACAGAAGTTGCATCTTCAAGCAGGCAGCGAAGCGCCTGCTTCAATATTTTCCCCGAAGCAGGCTCCTCACCGCCTTTTTGAAAGATTCTCGCAGCAATTCCGCTAACATCTTCAATCTTCAAACAGAGGTTCCAGGCTCCTGAGTTTTGCTTCGAGATTTGAGCGGCCCAGAGAGAGAAGAAGAGAGACACAGAAACAAAACAACAGTGTACTTACACGCGAGACAGAGAACCATACATTGTGTGTCATTTAAGTTACTCCTCTAACGCCGCATACTTCCTTCTGCCTCCTCCTCCCGCCATCAGAAGAGAAGGGGGGTAGACCCCCTCCCCGAGTTGTGGTGGCAGCACGACGACGACGACGACAATGACGACGACGACCACGGTGGCGACGACGACGACGACGACAACGACGGCAACGGCGACGACGACGACGACGACGACGACGACGGCGGCGGCGACGGCGGCGGAGTCATTATTTGCCGAATATTGTTGGGTCTTGGCAGCCTTTATTTAGCTTCCAGAAGGTGATCCACATGTTAGAGCATGTTGGAGTTACAACCGTAGGAAATGGCTTGGAAATCAGGCGTCAGAGGCGCCGTCGGGTTTTCCTCCTTCTCCCTTGCAGGACAAGCGGCGGGGGTTGGCCCTGAGGTCGTGCGGAGGAGGAGGAAGAGGACGGGCGATCCTGTGGACAGGCACGCTGATGGTGAGGAGGAAGAGGGAGGAGGAGGAGGAGGAGGAACAGGGAGGAGGAAAAGGAGGAAGAGGAGGAAGAGGGAGGAGGAGGAGGAGGAGGAGGAGGAGGATGAAGAGGAAGAGGAGGAGGAGGGGAGGACGATGACGAGGAGGAGGAGGAGGAGGAAGAAAAGGAGGAGGAGGAGGAGGAGGCGCGATATCTTGGGATCCGACTTTGCGAACGAATTGCGACAAATCACGACCATACCATATTTCTGCTGCATTCTCTCTGCCGGATAGACTCGCGATGGCCCCAGGGCCCGAGGACGGGCAACAAGATTTCGTGCCAAATAGCTACATGCGAGAGGACTTCAGGGGAGGGCCAGGCGTCAAGAGGGCTGGGGCGCCCTGATTCAGGATCCGCCGTATTTTGCGCGGCTTCGCATGTAGGCCAGGCATTTCCACCGTTCTTGTCGAGCCCCTACTTTGCCGTCGTAGTTTCTGAGTGAATTTCCGACACGATGTGCAAGCTGGAGAATCAATTGAAGCACGGCGGACCCGGAGTCAGGGCGGGCCAGGTGAGGGACCAGATTTGGGCAGGTTAGGTGTCGTCGACCACGGCCACGACCATGACCACGACCACGACCCTGACGACGACGACGACGACGGCGACGACGGCGACGACGACGACGAAGACGACGACGACGACCACGACCACGACCACGACCACGACCACGACCACGAACACAACCACGACGACGACGACGACCAGCACGACCATGACCATGACCACGACAACGACAACGGCGGCCGGGGCGGCGGCGAGCGACGGCAGCGAGGGGCGCCCCGCCGCGGAACCGCCGAACGCCGGCCGCAGCGCAGAGCGCCCGCCGCGGTCGTCGGCGGCGCAGCCGTGGGCGCCGGGCGGCGCGCGGCCCGCGCAGGCCGCCGCCGGCCGCCGCCTCCGTCGTCGTCGTCGTTGTCGTTTTTGTCGTCGTGGTCGAAGTCGGAAAAGGCGGAGGACGAGGAGGAGGAGGAGGAGGAAAAGAAAAGAACATTGTGAAGAGGAGGAGGAGGAAGAAGAGGAGGGAGGAAGAGGAAGAGAAGGAGATAGAGTCAGAGGAGGAGGAGGAGGAGGAGGAACAAAGGGAGGAGGAGGAGGAGGAACAAAAAAAGGGAAGAAGAGGAGGAACAAGAGGAGGTGGAGCAAGGGGAGGAGGAGGAGAAGGAGGAGGACGAGGACGAGGAGGATGGTTCATCGGAGGAAGCAGCACAAGGATGAAAGATGGGGGCGGCCAGGAGAGGCGGAAGATCGCGGTGCGCGCGCGGGAAGGCGACAGGTTCTTAAGCAACAAGTCGCACTTGGGCCGAGCATCGTTGCCACTGCAGGTCGTGATTGCACATGATTGGCATGAGCTGCTGCATGCGCGCAGGCACTCAAGAAACATACGTGCTGGAATGCGCTGCGAACCGTAACAACCGATGCTCGAATCTAGAAGTCGCAAGAAATGTCCCAGAGCCAGACGGAGGTTTTCGGTTACTCCTGAGGCCCCCTTCGCCATATGTTCCTTTCTTGCAATTTCCTTCCACATGAGGGTTGGCAGGGACTGCGGAATGGAAATGCATCTGCACTTTTTCAAAAGCGCGGCCGCGCTCGCGCGCTCAATCTCCCCCATTCGGGCCCCGCTCGGGCGCATGCACACATGCATATGGCTTGGCGGACACTTAGCCATGGCGACGAGTGCATCATCGACGCGCCCTGATCTCACGGCTTTCCTTGGGCAAGATGAACTCAAAGACGTTGAACGATCACATCGAGAAACGATTCACCTCATCAATCCCGCGCTTGAATCCGCGATGAACAGGCAAAACACGGGCTATTAACCGAAAGTTGTTCCACGAGACGAGGAGGCAGTGCCCCCTGGCGCAAGCAGCGACGCGTAGGCATTCATGAACAATGCCACGGCTCAAGAAGGACGAGTAAGATCGCCTTCGAGCACCCTGACTGCGTCCGGGTTGTCGGATCACGTTCACCGCGGAACAGCATGGATTTCCCGCTGTCGGTGGATGACATTTCCAGGGCAAGACGAACCCGGCCGCCGCGATGCGACGGAAGTGGGCGCGGATCCGGCCGGCGATGGCGCCGGACGGCGCGTTGCCAGTAAACGGGGCGCGGCGACCCTACTACCTGGCGCGCACCAGTCTTGCGCGATCACGTTCGACGCGGAGGATGATTCAGGGGGCGGCCCCGATCATGCGCCAATCTCGTCTGGCGACGAGAGGTCGGCGAAGTCCACGCCACGCAGAGGCGTGAAAGTGACGGGCGGCTCCGGGCCGGGGGGCGACCCCGAGGCCCGCGGCCTCGGGCGTCCGGCCCGGGAGCTGTCGCCGCCATCGGCGCCCATGGGCGAGGGGCATGCCCGACCGCGGACCGATTCGCGCAGCGAGGCGCCCGAACCGCGGGCCAACCCCGCGCAGCAGCCGAGGGGGATTTTCAGCCTATCGATGAGGCTTCTTTTCGCGAAACGGATTAGGACAGGCGGCGTCGTGGATTCGGACCGGGGGGGGGGCCCAGGGGGGTGCCCCTGCGGTTTTTTCTTCCTCGGGGCCGCGCGCGCTGGGCGGCTCGCTACAGACGCCGCTCGGGCCCCAATGCCCCGCCCGTGCTCTCCGAGGGCAAGGGGCGCAGGGCCCGATAAGCGGAGGCGGCCGCGGGCCCCGTCCGGCCCCTCCTCCTCGGCCCACACCGCGCGCTCCGTTGCGCCGAACTACCGCGTAAATCATGTCTGCGCCATCGAGGGCCCCAAGGGCGCGGACTTCCCTGAGCGGCGCTGCCGAGGCAGTCGGGGGCAATGCGAGAAGGCGGTCTGCGGGGCATGCTCGGCCAGCCGCCCACTCTACAGCGCGCCTCACCCCTGCCCGCTCTGCCCACCGCCCCACCGCGCAGAACTGCGCGACCCCCCGCCGCCTGGAACGGGGCAAGCCGAAGAGACGAAGCGAGAGGCGACGGTGGAGGCGCGGACGGGAGATGGCTCCGACGAGGAAACATATCTCGGCATCGGAGCATCAGCGGCGGGCTACCGCTCGGGCCCAGGCCGAACGTGACCGCGCTGAAACGGCCCGCGCCGTTGAGCAGGCAGATGAAAGACAGAGCGCCCTCGCCTCGGAGCAGTCGATGTGGGCCGCGGCACCGCGGGCAGAAAGTGCCCGCGCCCATGACGGTAAAACGGCGCATCATGATGGCCACCGCAATTGCGACATGTCATTGTTTTGCACCCCCCCCCGAAACCAAAGTTGAAATGCCCGCATTTTGCCCCTGGCCCGCGGCCTACCGCCCGCGCCCGTCAACTTTGAATTGTGGGGAAGGGGGAAATACATTCTGGTCTGAAGTGCTTTGATACCTCAAGGTCTTGGCGAGACACGCGCGGGCACTTATTGCCCGCCCACCACAACGCGGAACTCAGGGGGGCGGCCGGCCGGCTCGAGGCCCAGGCGATGGCCGAAAAAACGAGCCCAGGCTCTCGAGAGGGACGTAGCGGAGAGGGCCATAGGGGGGCCATTCATGGCGCTGGTCAGACTCGGCAGACCGCGGCCTCAAGGATCGCGAAGGGGCCCAGAGCAGCGGAGGCGCGCGCCGCCCCCCCGCCAACGGAAGCCCGCGCGGCAGTCCAGAAGGCAGAAGGCGATGGCTGACCGGCAAAGCGCCGAGGCTCTCGGCGAAAAGGACATTGGCGGGAAGCGCCGAGGTGATACGGCGCGCGCTGAACGAAGTCGGTGAATCGTCAGCAAGCGCAGATAATTGCCCAGGAGGCACGCGCGAGGTGCGTTCGCGCCACCGCCGAGGTCCGGGGCGCGCTGCCGGGGACTCAGAGAATCGAGCTGAAGGCGAGCAACGACGCGAACGTCGCATCCGCAGCGCCGAATTGCGGGCGTCGCAATCCACGACGAACTGAGGGGCGCGGCGCGATAGGCAGCGCCGCGAGCAGGCCGAGCTTCAGATGCAACGTGGCCCGCGGGGGCACGCTTCCCAGACCAACCTCGGGGCGGCCGCGGCTGTCGCGGCCAACGCGCCCCCCCCCCCCTCGCAGGCGGGGGCGCCGCGGCCAGTCACGCGCGCCGCGCGGGCGGGTGGATTGCAGTGCTTCGCATGCAACGAAGTGGCGGGGCGCGATTGCGCGCCGCGCGGGCAGTCGCACTGCGGGCGGCGAACATTGCGAGCGGAAAGTGAACCGACCCGTCGCATGAGCTGCGGCCCCGGCCGAGAGGGGCCGCGAAGCCGACGGGGGGCGCGAGGAAGGAGAGGAAATTCAACGCGAGGCGAGGATGACATTCGAAGAGCGGATCGCAGCCCAAACAGCACCTGGAGCCGGCGGCCATTTGGATCGCCCGCCACTGGCGGGGGCGCCTCGCGGCCGCGCCGCGAGCGCTTCTGAACAGGTGGCGAGGCAGAAGGAAGATTGTGAAATCGCCTTGCGCCCGAGGGCGCACGAGGGCCCCGTTCGGGCCGAGAGTCGGGCCCCGCCCCGCCTAGGCTGCGAGAGCTGCGCGACAGAATCCCGCCTCGCACATTGCGCGCGAACGGCGCTTCCTGTTTCGGCCCCGGCCACGCCGCGGCAAAGTGCCAGCGCGCAGACGCCAGATCGAGGGCTGCGACAGAGGTGGAGACCCTGCGCCTTCTTCGGCAATGCCAGACCGCCCGCTCGAGGGCCGCCGAGGAGGCGGAGCTTCCGCGCCCTCCGGCAACGCGCGGACACTGGCCGGAGGGCCGCGGAGGACATTGAGAACCCGGACATCGCGGAGCTCGGGGCGGGGCCCCGGGAGCTGGAAGGTTTGGGGCAGCAGCCTGGGCCGTGGCGATCAGTTGCGCGATTGTCGAGGCCGGAGGAAGCATGGAGATTGGATAGGGGGCTCGGTTTGCGGCCGCGCCCAGACCCCCCCCCCCGCGCGTTTCAGGGTCGCGCCCTGCGCGCGCTGGCGCGGCGAGGCGCTTCG